TTCCAGCTGCGACGTTTTGAAAGACTGTCTAGTTAAAGCAACCAGCATTCCAAAATGAGGTATTATAATGTTTTTATGTAGTAATTTGGTTATTGTTGAATGTGTGTTATTATTATTACTGATTCAGTTGTTAAATATCTCATACAGATTATTAGTCATTTCTTATATTATTATCTTCAACTGATATCTATTACGCTGAGAGACTACATATATGAGTATAAATATATCATCAGATAGAAGGATACATAAACAGATATAGATACAGATAAATACATTACACATAAACAAAAATCAACCTTTTTCCCCTTACCGTTAGCTAACATTGAAGAGGAAAAAAAAAAACACAGGAAAAATCCTCTAGTATCTTCCTTGTTACCAAGGTTTGGCACCAAGGTTTGGCACCAAGACACCTATAAAGCATCAAGAGAAGAGATGCTTCTTCAGTCGACTTCTGTTCTCGCTGCAGTCAACACCTCTCTCTCTCTCCTCCAAAATGGTAACACATCCTTATTTGACATTAGCTTCCAGTCTTTCAATGTGTTTGGTAACTAACAGAGTGATATTGTATTATAATTATTTCTAAGTTTACGTATTTCTTATCTATCCATCTTATATATATATATATATATATATATATATATATATATATATATATATATATATATATATTCTATGTCTATCTATCAATACGCGCAAGTGTGTACATATATGTGTATGTGTGAGACTGTGTGTGTGTGTGTGTGTGTGAGTGCTGTGTGAGTGTGAGAGTAAGTGTGTGTTTGAGGAAAGAGAGTATGTTTGTGTGTTTGTGTTAATGACCTTTATGCTTTAGGATAATTTTGGACACAAGGCTTTTTCCCTCCTCTTGACTTTCGAGTAATTGAGCCATTACTAGCTGTTGCTGCCGATGATAATAATTGATTATAGTGCCGATATTTTTTTTTTGATTATATTGGTTTCAAGAATACAAAAAATAAACTATTATAAAAGTCATAGCGGTCAGTACCATCCAGTTTAGGTATTAGGGTAAGTATGACGAATATATACCATTTATTATTAGCTACCACGGTTGCGAGTGTTTTTTCTAGTTTTCACAATATTACTATTATGGTTATTGTAATGATAACAAAAGTTCTATACATAAATAAAAAGTATATACTGAAATGCAAACCATTACGAAATACGTAAACAATATAAACAAAAACAAAAGTAAAAAAAAAAAATGAAAGTAAAAGATATAAAATAGAATAAGTAAAATTAAAGGCATGAGAAATAAAACGAAACATCTAACATGAAATTAGTAAAATAAAATAGATATAGAAATAATAATCATGTTGGGATGCAGATTTCCCGCGTCGTGTTCGGACTCCTGGTCGTGGTTCTGCTGGCTGTCTCCGCCTTCGCCTTCCCCGACCCAAGCGGAGGATACGGACACCGCATCATCGGATACGGACACATTGGACACGGATACGGACACGGCTATGGTGGCCACCGTGTCATTTTAGGCTATGGCGGCCTCGGCGGCGGGTACGGATACAGGCCGTACTGGTGAGAGGTGAGGTTTACAGGAAATTCATTTCATATTTTAGTGATTCTATTTTCATCTTTATTTAGATTCCTTGATTTAATCTAACGGTGTCTTGTGAACTGAACTATATATAACGGAATGCTGATTTTATATTGTAATTATTTGTTTCTTTGTGAGCTACGAAAAATTATTTTATATATGACTTTCTTTTATCTAAATGTGTCTTTGGTTCAGAATTTTCAATCGTTATTTTTCACAACCTATTTCTACGTAATGAAATACAAACTTCAATATCTTCCCAAACTGTTAAAAGAAAAAAAAATCTGTCACTCATGTGTATTTCATGCATAAGACCTTTTTTCTTTTTTTCATGATACATCTATTTCCTCTTCACATCCACACAGAGAAAGAAAACCGAAAGGACAAGACAACTAAGAAAATTTTTCCCAATTCTTCTCTGTTCTTCGTTCAACCTCCACTTCGATGCTGTCCGGGATCTGTCTCCAATAACTGGAAAAAGAAGCTTTTAAAAGAATAATGAAATCAGGTTCCAATAACTTTCTCTTTCTCTTGTTTACATCAACCTTCCTGCTTGACTCCTTCGTGTGTCTTGTTTGCAATAAAGGCTGTATTTTGCTTCAACTTTATTGGATTCTTTTCCCCCAATTATAGTTGAGTTTTCAAGTGGTAGACTATGACTATATAAAATATCACGTGTATTACTACTATTATTATTATTATTATATATTTTTCTGATGGTAAGCTATGACTATATATAATATTTTTTCTGTAATTAAGAAAGACATATTTAGAATCCATGTACAGAGTGAATGTAAAATGCGACAAGGAATTATCAAGTGTTAATATCAGCTCACCAAAATTCCCTTTCTTGATTTTGTGCAGACAAATATTTGATATTTGTAATCAGTGGTTTTGCAATATATAAGAAACCTTAGTGTCTGGAATCTCTATGAATGGCACTGGTGGTTTTCCAAAACATTTTAAGTATATCATAGTTACTTCTGCTGGGAAATTACATTTTGTGTCTTCTGCAGGTATTTTTTTCACACATACGCACACATACATACATATACAAGTATACCCATGTACTGCTTCAAGTAAAACACTAGCAGTCAGTTAAACCTTTATTGTCATGTTCACAAGCTGGTAGGTATGAGCAGTGTATCCAACTTGCAAGATGACAACATATGCGCGAGCGTGGTGAAAAGAGCGTGGCTAGCTCAAATCTTCACAAAACAAGAATAGTTTAAAAGTACGCAGCACAAGGCGTCTCACGTGGCTCTCTAGCTGGGCTCCGCGGATTCACAACAATGCGTTTTTGTTGGGCGTTCGTACAACTCTAGCGTCACTGTAGCCAACGTTACAAACTAAATTAAATTAAATAATTATTCTCTTGTTAATAATTAAACCAATAAATTCTTGATGATCTTAATTCTATATATATAATATCAGACAAGGAATCCTTCATTCCTTTACAACGCATGACAGATTAAAATCAGTGTGTATTGTTTATATATCATCTTGCCAAATTCCATTTTATTCTCATCATTTGTGTAAGATCCTCAATTCTAATTTTCCCCTACAATAAAATACATAAATAGATGAAATATCACGAATACACTAGATCATTTTATGAATGCACAATATAAGTAGAAACAACGACAGCATACGAAACTACGAACTACGAAAGGGCTCTTTAACATGGACCGCGATACTACGGCCCCAGCACTTGGTCCAGGCTTTGCTAGCGGACTCCTCTGGCCACCATGTTGCACAAACGAATTGAAATGCACTATACGGTTAACAATTTTAACATTTTAAAGGCACATGAAAAGGCAATTTTTCAATGAATCTCCTCGAAATACTTTCATTATGTAAACAAACAAACGGTAGTGCCATCAATGACAACCCATTTTAATAGCGTATAAACAATGTATGAATAACTTATCATCCATCACTAACGTTACATAATGCAAAACAATAGTCATTCAACAACTTCGCATTTCTATACAAAATGAAATTACTTTTGAAAATAACATATGTATATATATATATATAATAATATATATATATATATATATATATATATATATGTATGTATGTATGTATATGCATGTGTTATATAATATATATTCATATACATACATATACATATATATACATTTATAAACACTATATGATATATGTAGTATGTATGTACATATATATATGTATATGTATATATATATATATATATATATATATATATATATATATATATAGAGAGAGAGAGAGAGAGAGAGAGAGAGAGAGAGAGAGAGAGAGAGAGAGACTGAAAGAGTGAGATGCCTCGCCTATACACAAACCAACGACCTTGTCAACAAAGATGCCCAACTCGAGCTTCTCCCGATGAGGAATTCTTCATCACTTTGCTCACCAGGCGAATGACGTCACTGGCGTCGAGTAAGCTCATTTTTGTATATTTTTAATCTTTAATAGTCGATTTTTTTTGTTAATTTGCTTCATTCATTGATAAGGTGCCTGAGTGAATTTGAGCTTTTAAAAACGACGTTATGAATAATATCAAAGACATTACTGAAATTAGGAAATTATAAATCATTTGCAGTCTAACAATAACAATATTATATATTATTAATAAGTTGGTTAGCATAATATCTAAAACATAATACTAATAACATGAAACAAGAGGTGTCTGTGTTTTTATAATTTATGATATTCATGAACAGGCATAAATTTTAATTAACTTTTTCATCCCTAAAATAATGAACTCAGCCATATCAACAGATCAATTTTAGAAATACAAAACCAGCCAAAACATGAGTATTAGATAAAATCTGTTTAGAATGGTAAAGATACATGATATGAATTAAAAATGAAAAATAGTAAAAGTATGGAAAATAAACTTGAATCGGAGTGATCCAGAGTCTGCCGTGAGTTGCCAACTGTTGTTTTCCCGAGACTGACCGCGCTGTAGTATTCCATGCGTCGATTCATTCATAAAAAAAAGCTAAAGAATTTTGAATATAGGATTCCAGCTGCGACGTTTTGAAAGACTGTCTAGTTAAAGCAACCAACATTCCAAAAATGAGGTAAAGATTATAATCTTTTTATGTAGTAATTTGGTTATTGTTGAATATGTAGTTATTATTATTACTGATTCAGTTGTTAATATTCTCATACAGATCATTAGTCATTTCTTATATTATTATCTTCAACTGATATCTATTACGCTGAGATCAAAGACTACATATATGAGTATAAATACATAATCAGATAGAGGGATAGATAAACAGATATAGATACAGATAAATACATTACACATAAACAAAATACCCCTTTTCCCGCATACCGTTACCTCACATTGAAGAGGAACAAAAAAAAACACAGGAAAAATCCTCTAGTATCTTCCTTGTTACCAAGGTTTGGCACCAAGGTTTGGCACCAAGACACCTATAAAGCATCAAGAGAAGGAATGCATCTTCAGTCGACTTCTGTTCTCGCTGCAGTCAACACCCTCTCTCTCTCTCTCCCAAAATGGTAACACATCCTTATTTGACATTAGCTTCCAGTCTTTCAATGTGTTTGGTAACTAACAGAGTGATATTGTATTATAATTTTCTAAGTTTACGTATTTCTTATCTATCATATATATATATATATATATATATATATATATATATATATATATATATATATATATATATATATATATTTCTATGTCTATCTCTCTGCCTGTCTATCAATACGCGCAAGTGTGTACATATATGTGTATGTGTGAGACTGTGTGTGTGTGTGTGTGTGCTGTGTGAGTGTGAGAGTAAGAGTGTGTGTTTGAGGAAAGAGAGTATGTTTGTGTGTTTTGTGTTAATGACCTTTATGCTTTAGGATAATTTTGGACACAAGGCTTTTTCCCTCCTCTTGACTTTCGAGTAATTGAGCCATTACTAGCTGTTGCTGCCGATGATAATAATTGATTATAGTGCCGATATTTTTTTTTATGATTATATTGGTTTCAAGAATACAAAAAAACTATTATAAAAGTCATAGCGGTCAGTACCATCCAGGTTTAGGTATTAGGGGTAAGTATGACGAATATATACCATTTATTATTAGCTACCACGGTTGCGAGTGTTTTTTTTTTCTAGTTTTTCACAATATTACTATTATGGTTATTGTAATGATAACAAAAGTTCTATACATAAATAAAAAGTATATACTGAAATGCAAACCATTACGAAATACGTAAACAATATAAACAAAAACAAAAGTAAAAAAACGAAAGTAAAAGATATAAAATAGAATAAGTAAAATTAAAGGCATGAGAAATAAAATGAAACATCTAACATGAAATTAGTAAAATAAAATAGATATAGAAATAATAATCATGTTGGGATGCAGATTTCCCGCGTCGTGTTCGGACTCCTGGTCGTGGTTCTGCTGGCTGTCTCCGCCTTCGCCTTCCCCGACCCAAGCGGAGGATACGGACACCGCATCATCGGATACGGACACATTGGACACGGATACGGACACGGCTATGGTGGCCACCGTGTCATTTTAGGCTATGGCGGCCTCGGCGGCGGGTACGGATACAGGCCGTACTGGTGAGAGGTGAGGTTTACAGGAAATTCATTTCATATTTTAGTGATTCTATTTCATCTTTATTTAGATTTCTTGATTTAATCTATTGGTGTCTTGTGATCTGAACTATATATAGCGGATTACTGATTTTTTATACTGTAAATATTTGTCTTTGTGACTACGAAAAATTATTCTATATATTGACTTTCTTTTTAAATGGGTTTTGGTTTCAGAATTTTTCAATTCGTTATTTTTCAACCTACGTCTACGTAATTGAAATGCAAACTATTCATAACATTCGCGTGCCCTAATAACTGTTAATAAAAAAATAATTAGAAATAAAAATTAAGTGTCTCGTTATCACGTGTTAATTATCATACTATAAGACATTCATCATTTTCTAATTTTTTTTATTCACATGATCCATCTAAATATCCTTCTTCACATTTCTCACACAAGGAGAACGACTCAAACAGAAAGGACAAGAACCAATCTATAGGAAAATCTTTCACTCCAAATCATACGTGGGTCTTCACGTTCATACCTCCACTTCGATGCTGTCCGGATCATGTCTCCATTAACTGCGAAAGAAAGACCTAAATATAAATATAGAGTTAATTTTAATTCACGAGTTCCAATAACTTTTCTCTTTCACTCCTTGTTTACATAACAACCTTTGACTCGTGCATTCGGAACTCCTTCCGTGAATGCATCCATTTGTTTGTCAAATAAAAGACTGTTATAGTTTTGCTTCAACATTTATTGCTAACTGTCTCTGGTCCGGATCTCAATTATACGTGAGTT